TGATGACTGGTAAGAAAGTACCCTGTTCACTCTTGCTCCCTCTCGGTGTTTTTTCCTAGTGCCTCTGAGCCCAGACAGCCCAGATGTCCAAAGGGAACTAGTGAAACCACTCCAAAGCAGTGACAGTATAAAGATGTGAGAGCAGCCTTTTATTTGCCTTGGTCCATAGCAGTGTTAAGCTGCAGCAGGTCCATGCTGTTTCCTAGCTTTGCCTTCTGCTCTATGTAGCTGCAAATTAAATCTTCAGGGAAGAGAGAAAGTTGTGGAACAAGATGATTTGCTGGCTGAAGCCAGAAGCAGGATGGAAGTGGTCTTGAGTTTAGAGATTTGGGGGCCTCAGGTCACTGGCCCAGGTGGGACTGAGCAAGGATTTATCTCTGGTCCCACCACTGGCAGCAGCAGCAGGAGACAGGGCCTCCCTGTGACCACCTGCACGTGAGTCCCAGGAACACCTATGGGGCATGCCTGTTTCTGAGAAATGGACTGAGACATGGTGCAGAGTTGCTCAGCCTGTCATTTCTCCTGAAGGGCTCATGGCAGACGACAAGGAAAAAGAAAAAAACTCATTTAGGAATCTTGCACTTTTTGAATTAAACTTTTTCCTCCTCACTGCCTAATATGGGCCAAAGATGTTCTGTTGATAGTCACAGTGTGTCTTGAAATTAGGCACAGGCAGGAGGAGGCTTTACAAATTTCAGGTTATATTGGTTGTCTTTTTGATTTCTGGGTCAGCATATACTCACTAGGGCTCCATTCACACTGGGATAACCATGAAAAATCTTCCGTGATGCATCTCCTTGTGCAACTGCTTTGTTTTGCCCCTCTCTCTCTTCCCTGTTACTGTTTGGTGCCCTGTGAGGTTCAGAGAGCTGCTGCAGGTGTGGGAGGGCTGGGTTACACTCAGGGACCCCAGTGGGGAAGGGTCCCCAGTCCTGCCCTGCAGCCCTGGTGAACCAGTGACTGCATCATGCCTTCATGTAGCTCAGGTCCTTCACAAAGAAAGTACTGAAAGATGCAAGTTTTTACTACTGTTAAATAACATGTTGCTGTTGTGGGTGTTATTTTAAGTAGGGGTTTTCTGGAAAATCCAGCATTTCATCTGTTCTTGCCCAGGTGTGGAATCTTTTAGGACACACTGCTTTTTTGCGGGGGGACGGGGCGGGGAGGATACAACTAGATTGCAGAGTGCAAACTCAGCTATGGAGTGGCAGTGCAGACACTAACTCCTGAACTGCCCTCTGGGGATAGCCGAGGCAGCACTGTATCTCGGGGACAGGGTCCAGGGAGGGTGCAAGAAACAGAAGCTGTGAGACTGTGCCGTATTTCTAGGAAGCAGAGACATAGGGACTTCATGTGCCAAGGACTTTGGGAAGGCTGTCTTATTTAATGGCCACAAATTAACCCATCCACTCTGAAACCATCTATTTGCCTTTTGGATTTATGTATGCTTTTGACCACCACAGCATCCTGTGGCAATGAGTTCCACGATTTAATTAAGTGCTGTATCAGAAGCACCTCCTTTTGTTTGTTGGAGCAGACACCCTGGTAATTTCAGAGGGTACTGCCTAGTTCCTGGGTGGTGAGAAAAATCAATCTTTTTGGTAATTGTCTTTCAGGCAGCAGAAGGTGAAGGCACTCTTCAGTGTCAGACGCCTGGCCATCTGCCACTCAGAAGTCCTTCTTTGTAGACTTCATGATGTTTCCTTGGCAGTTACCAAAGAGGTAAGAACATTGTGTTTAATTGTGTCCCATGTACCTCGTACATGGGGCATAGAGTAGATATGTTCTTGTTCGTTTACATGTGTGCTCAGTGTCTGCCTTCATTACTATTTTTAGACTTAATTTTTCTAATAGCTATGTCATCTATCTGTATGATCTGTCTGTACACGTAATTATATTTACTGGTATGTAGGGCATCTGTCTCTCTCCTCTTGGAGCTAGGTGTCATTATAATGTAATACACAAATGCAGAAACTGAGACAGTAATCAGGTGATTTGCCACAGCCCAAATCTCTGCCCAAGCTGTAATTAAACACTGCAGCTTTTGCCTCCCAGCTTCCTCCTACTTCCTCCTCCTCCTCAGCATCCTGGGGGATTGGCTGCAGGTATTTATTTTCCAGTGGTTCCTGATGATGTCTTCTCCTTCTTCCTTTCTGCGTGCTGTTCAGTAATTTGCCCTTTCCATTGATCTGTTGCCTCCATGCACCAGTGGAATTTTGCACTGCAGCCACTGGGTGCTTGGAGCAGACTGGCTGTGAGGTTTGCAGGGCAGTCACGCACAGCTTCACTATGTCATCTCTCAGTTAACAGAGAGGTCTCAACCTAAGCTCCTTAATAAAATCTGTGGCTATATTTCCAATTTGGCACTTGTCTGTGGCCTGAACCAGCTGCCTTGTACTCTTACTACATGATTGCCAAATATATTATATTTTCCTTTGCTTGCAGAAGACAGTAAGACTTAGCTCATTTTCATGAAAATCAGTCCTTCCGTCCAATATTTAATGACGTTGGAGGCTCGAATGCCCCTTGTGTTTTTGCACTCTTCAAACATTTCTGTTTAGATATGCAGGACTCAGATTCTCTCATTCTGAGATCAGGGTTAGGAGAAAAAGCTCTTTCAGCTTAGCTCATCTGATTTTTATATCACTTTTATATTTCTGAGGAAATTTTCTGCTCTTTGTTCTACACACTCATGCGCAGAGATACCTTTCAGCTTTCATTTCAGTCCAGTCCCAGATTTTGCTTTCACAAGCACTTCTAGGACTTACGTTGTTAATTTTTATTAACAGGCACAACTCAGTCTAGCAGAAAGAACCAGTAGTCTGTCCTTCAAAGTATCTTTCAAATGAAGCACATGACTCTCAGATGCTTCTTCCTTACCCTTGTGGGAGAGCCTTTTGGAAGTAGAGATCACTCCAGAGCAGTGCTGAATGCTGTAAAACCCCACTGATCGCAGCTGTAATTGCATGAGATCTCCAGGATCCTTAAGTGCCTTGAGTCCAACAGCTAGGGTTCTCCTTAGTAGATGGAGCAGCAGATGGACTCAAGTCCCTGCTGCGAATTAGCCTGTAGACTTGAGCCCTTGTTGAGTGCTCAAACTGCCAGTGCCATTGCTGCAATTTTTGACAGGAGGAAAGTACTACTTTTCCTCTATCTTGTCTTTATTAATTGTGCCTTTATAGTTTAAAAACAGCCTTTGCTTTAATTTTTTTGTTTGTTTGTTTTCAATAGAAGGGCCTAAAATCAAAGCAGTGTACATTATAGGCTAAGCAGCACACTTTGTTCTAGGTAAAACGATACTTTTTAGGCCTGCAGTCTCATTCAAATTATATTGTATAAGCGGGCCTGAGGCCAGAGAAGAAGTTGGTATCAGCGTAAGTGCGTTTCTGTGCTTGTGGTCTTCTGCTTTTACCGTGCTCTTATGTTCCACCTAGACACAGCAATAAGTCTTGTTTGCTGGGACTTTTGTCTAGGGGAACTGATTTTCTTTACAAGGTGATTCTTATGTTTCCCCTCATGACTTCCCCAGGTGAACAACCTCCGCTCAAAGGTGTCTCGCTTTGCAATCGGCACTCTTGGAGAGCTCTTCAGGACCATGAAGAAGTGCATGGACCATGAGGTGGATGAGGCTGCTTGGGTCTTGCTCCAGAAGATGGGGGATTCCAGAGAGATCATTCAGAAAGCAGCCACTCAGTCCCTGGGGATCATGGTGAAGAGTGTGACTCCTGCACGAGCAATGACTGCTCTCATGGCTAGTGGAGTCCAGTATGTTGTTCTTCTCTTAGTAATATCCTTCATCTTAAATTGTGTGGGTAGGGGGAGGGGACAGGAGGCAGAAGCAGAATGATGGGAAGGAAGGGTCCTTTCTCCTGCATCTTCTGTGAAATCAGTGATTAGATTATCTGATCAGCCTCGCTCCCTTCCTCTTGTCATCTACTTCTGCCCTAGTGCAGCCTGTTTGTTCTCACAGTCTGTCAACACTGCCTAGACGTGGTGAATGATGGGGAAGCAAAAGTCCCTGCAAAGGGTGGTGAATACAGCCTTGTGGCTTTGCGGGAAGAGGGACAATGGCAATCCCAGCAGTGAGTGCCTTTTGGTATTTCACAATGCTAACCACAGAGGTGCTGGGAAAAATCATGCATCATCATTATGCCATTAACTTGAGAAATAAGGAGGCTAATTGCTGGGACACAGAGCACAGAGCACACAGGGGAGAACCCGCTGGGTGTGGCACAGCCTGCTCAGCAGGTGCAGCTCTTGCCAAGAGGAGTCTGTCTGACCGTCGTGTTGTTAGAGCTCCACTTTCTATTCAAATTGATGCTGCATGCTAGCCTTGAGATGGTGAGTCACTTTACAGGCGCCTTCACAGGCTGACTCCCATGGGATAGCTGGGGAAAATGCTGCCTTAAAATATTAGTGCTGTGCATGATAGTTTCGAATAGGCACCCTCTAGAAAGGACAACCTCGCTAAAATGGCTGCTACCCTTTCCTCAGCTTTTCCAAGGGCAAAACATTCAAACGTACCTCTTGCAAGCCTCAAAGAACAAACTGGCTGCATTGCTGGATATTCTGCAGCTTGATGCTTGATTTTTGCAGATTTGGAGATAAATGGGTGGAATAAGCCCCAATCCTGCTGCAGCTCTGTCTGTATAGTGGGAGCCCTCTGATGTCAGGAATTGTCTTTCATTTCCCTCTTTCTCAGAGTTAATTTTGGGAAAAAAATTGAGTATCAAATAGTCCAGGGAGATTGAATTCCTCCTTCTTCCTTGCAGGTAGCCCCTCTGTACAATGCCAGCTTTGTGTTTATCTGAGGACATAATCTTCTACAGGTGGCTAAAATTGCAGTGAGAACACGTCTCCTTCCCCCAGCAATGACAGGGAGCATGCTGTGACCAAAGCCTGTGTTTCTGGCCCTCCTTTTCCCTCTGCCCCAGTGTTTGTTCTCTTGTTTCCAGGCACCGCAACGTCCTGGTGCGGAAGTGTGCAGCCGAACACCTACTGACCACAGTGGAGCAAATCGGAGCCGACAAGCTCTTGTCAGGCACGTGTGACAGTACCAAGCTGCTGGTATGCACACTGGTGAAGCTTGCTCAGGACTGTCATCAGGACACAAGGTGATGATCTTCATCTCTCCTCATAAAATTTTAAAACTGTTTGATGTCTGGCTATAAATGATAAAACCACGAAAGAGTGGATGGTAAAGTAAATATTAAGAAAGTTACTTTACAGTGTGGATAATGTTGTCTGGGGAAATGACTATACTGGGTAACAGGAGGTTGTCCAGCAAGAAGGACCATTGCCAAATTCCTGTGACTTGAATGATTCTTTATTCAGATCAACTGAGCTCAGATTAGTCAGTCAAACAATTTTGTTTGGTCTTATGTGTGCAATGCAAAGCTGAGGCATTGGCTGCTAAGGATCCCAAGCATTTATTTCTGGTAAGGTTAAGACTGTCCTAGAAAAAATCCGGCTGTCTTTAACCACTGTATTCAGTCTTTCTAAACCTTTTCTTCAGATTTAGTTGCCCCTGATAGTCACAAATTTTTCTTCCCAATCGTTGTATAATGTTGTTGTCCGTGGCTGAACGACCTCCGAATTTCTTCTTGAAGATAGCTGTAGTTTCATAGTAGCAAACCCAAACCAAACCAAACCCCGCCCTGAACCTTACTTTGATTATTAATTTAAATTCCCATTAATAGATGGCAAGAACACATGAGCAACTAGCTGCCCGTGTGCATATATGTAGTATAGAATAATAAATAGTAAGCATGAGGTCCTAGCTTCTCCGCCAGTTAAAGAAAGGTAAATTATTATGCAATGGCAGCAAGACAATGCAAATAATCCATGGCAGCAAAGCAGGAGATGTGCTTTGCTCATCCCATGGGATCCTGTGATCCCACAGAAGCACAACCACAATTTCAGAGTGAAATTGTATTTTCCTGTTGCCCTGGGTTCTCCTCTTGCCTCTTGTGTTCAGCTGGCAGCATTGTGCCGTGGCAGTAAGTGGATGTAAATATCTCTCTTTGCTGAATGGGTAATACCTTCTCATGAAGGTATGACACATGATGAGTTTAAAATATCAGCTTATTTTATTAACACTTTTCCTGCGTTTATTCAAAAAGCTAGGGAGAAAAGACAGTAATAGTCTGCAGAAAAAACAGTCATTCATTTCTTTCTTTTCTATGTTAGGTATTATGGACGGAAGATGCTGAATATATTGATGAGTCATCAAAAATTTAATAGGTATTTGAAACAGTCTGCCCCCTCACGTGACTTGGAAGATGTTATGGCAACAATTAAGCAGAAAGTAAGTGCTTGGCAGGAGAACTGTCTCCTTTATGCAAGTACTGAGATTGCTAATATGAGATTAAACATGCCTAATCTTTCTTTACCTCATTCTATTTCCACTGAATTATTTTTCTCCTGGGAATGAACTGTTGCTCCTTAGCCTGTTTATCTGCAGACAGTGAAGGAGCTAGTATGATTAGAAATAAAGTGGGTGTATTTTGAATATCAGCCAGAAATAGGAAAGGGAAGTAGGAGAAAACGGTTTCACCTTCAAGCATAACCTTCCCTCACCCCCCCAATAAAGCAAGGAAGTGAGAATAGTGCTTCAGAAGATAATAGTCTTTGCAACAGACGAAGGAAGTAGTAGTGCCAAGAAAATTTCCAAATATACAAAAGATGCACAAGGCAATCATAATTAGTACATCTATTGTCTGTATTCTGGGAATACTGCCCTGCTGTCACGCACTGTGGAGCTGGAAGAAGCTTTGTGAATTCAGCATCGAGTAGAAAACCATCCCCTTTTTTTTTTTTTTTAATTCCTCTCCATTTACATTCTAGAAAGGAATGTGCCTTTGTGCAGGAATAGGGAGAGTGAGTGTGAACCAAATCAACTCCCGACACAATGGGCCAACCTGCAAAGAGTTCCACTATTCCCTTCAAGAAGGCTTGTTCCCTGCCAGTTTGCATTATTCCCATTTGTGCCCAAGACTAATGAATTCAGGATTTTATACTGCTGCCCATTATGGTAGCACCTATAACCTGCCTCGGGTTATTAAAAACAAATAGTAGACAATACACTGAATCTCTGGCCTGTCTCCCTCTCTAAGTTATGAAATGTTTTCCTAAGCATTTCTTGGCAGCAGTGATCCTGGATATAACTTGTGTTTTAAACAAGTAATTTCCTCTTTTATCTTCTATAGATTAATGATTTTTTTAATATATATGTGTAGGGGATAGAAGACCATAAATGTGAACCTCCATCTGCCAAGGACCCCAGGAAGTCTGGGAACAGAGGCTTGATGATTCCTCAGGACAACTTGCCTTCTGATGGAGGGTACTGAGCTCTTCTGTTAGATCTGACAAAGCACATGACAAGCTTTACGTGTCTGTCTTAGTAAAATCTTTCTGGTGGAGATGAGCTGTGCTCTAGAGATTGTTTCCTGGCCCCACAAATCTTCTATGATAAAAAATGTTTACTTCTGCATTAGGCTGAACACAAGTTCTCTGTAGGGTTTTCCACAAAAATTGAGAGCGAGAAAGAGACAACCACTGGTTGCAGCTCAGAAGATCCAGTGCAGTGGTGAGGACAGTGTTACGGAGGCTGTGAGAAGGTCATGTCTCTGTTGTTTGACTTGGGACAAGTAATTTCAATCAGGGTATTCTTATCTGAGTGGGGTCTTTTTTAGATGGGTGGTTTGATGAGAAGTCCCATTCTAGAACTAAGATGCCATTCCCAAAATTAGCACTTTCCATGCATGTGGTTTGGCCTGGCTCAATCATTGCTTTCTGACCCTCAAACAGTACCAGCAAGACAATTCCTGAGCACTTCTGGTCAACAGACATCTCAATGTGGACTTTTTCTGTAGCTATTCATGTCATTCAGACCCATTACTGCTTCGTTAATGGACAGCATGTTTTTTTCCCCGGTGCTGCAATCAGCATTCAAGATAGGAATTTGGTCCTTGCTGTCTCCCCATGCTAGCGGGAGAGCTATTTGTACCTGTTCCCCTCTGAAAACAGAGTGGATTTATTTAGGTCTGTTGTGCTTAGCAGTGGCAGGAAGGTGACTACACACCTCACTAGCATAGTTAGGATCTCCCCATGCTCATGGCAGAGAGAGGTTGATCCAAGAGAATTGTTTCTGCTGGGTTTGTTAAGCTGTGGATCCAGTCCCTAGGGAAGCAATAATGTCAGCATAGTAGTGGGATGGTTGACTTCTGTTTCTATCTCTGTTACTGATCCTCTGGATCCTTTCAGATATGCCTCTTAATCTCTCTGGGTGGGATTCATCTGTTCAGATGCATCTGAGCTATTTATCCAGATTCCCATACCCATTGAAGAGACACTTCTCCAGAGTAATTAATTTCCTTATAATACAGACACCTCCTATAAGGCGAGGCATTTAACCTTTGAAGTAGTGCCTATTTTTCCCCACAAAGGGATGCCTAGATGAGTACTTGGGAAGACATCTGAAGATAAATGAGATGAATCCCACCCTCAGTGCCTTGGTTTTCCTAAGCAAGCACTAGTGATAATGTTACTTGCAGATTGTCTCCTGTAATGATTGTCATCAGATCAAAATTGCTTTTCAGAGCAGGATCTAGCTGAAATCACATCATTAGGAATTCTTCTCGAGATGTTTTCCTCACAATTAACTGAAGATATTATCACCAAGTTCTTACCTTGTTTTTATTTTCCAGTTTGAAGCCTGGCTCTGACAAACTCATCTTACTCCGTCAGACAGTCCGTCGCACGTCACTTCGGACTGTGGAAGAGACTGAACAGCTCAAGGAGCTTTACAAGCTCCTGACAGCCAAAGATTTTCAGAAACGAATAGAGGGAGTGGTACTCCTCCTAGACCACTGCAAAAGCAGCCCCAAGCTTGTCTCCACTAATATTGTCCAGGTATGTAGGTCATCTCTATTGCTCCCTTCCCAAGCCTGTACCAGTAAAGTTAACTCCATGTGTCTTGGCAGTACATACTAGTTGTTTGGGACAGGCTGGTCCCTTCTTACCCAAAATAATTTGATTCAACTCCAGGCTTCAGGGCAAGTAATTTCAGTCCAGATGTATTTCTCTGGCAGGTGCATATTGGAGCTGTTCATGAGATGATGACAGAATTTACTGTTGCTGTAGCTTCTGCTGTCTCCTACTACCAGTTAGATTGAAATAAAGGAAATCTAGCCACTGAAAGCTTGGCAATTATCCTCTAGAAGAAAAATGGGTTGGGATGGGGGAGAGAAGTATAAGGCTGGGTTGATTTTAAAAAAAAAAAAAATTTTTTTTTTTTTTAAAGAATGCTCCTGTAAACTTTATCTTGTCTTGCACAGACACAACTCTGCCTATTCACTTCTGTCCTCATCCCTTTCCTGCTCGGGACAGGCTGTTCTCACTCTTCCTGGGGGTCCTTTTTTCTCTTTGGAAAGAGGAGGAAAATGGCTAGAGACAGATCTTCTCTTTCTTCTCCTACCAGCAGCTGCCTGGTAAAGTGGCTGCCAAGGGACTGAACCTGCTCTAATGAGAACTGCACAGCACATTAAACTTCAGAAGTCTACCTGTTAGCTAGACAAATGGTCTGGATCCTGAAGAGTTCACCAGAGCCCTGCACTCCTCCAGATGCAAGTTCTGAGACAGATGAAACAAAACTTGGATCTCATCCAGCCACGGTTTTGGCAAAATCAAAACTATCCTTAGTACTTGAGACGACTTTATGGAAAAATGGGCATCGGAAATACCTGTTTTCATCCTTCTATACCAAAGACACTATTTTGCATTATTAAAATGGGATTAATTTAATGATTTATAGATAAAGAGAAACACCATATGAACTATCCTGTCCCCACCCAAACCTCGCAATAAAATATGAAAATCTTTTCAACCAGCATGAGGTTGTGTAACCACTACAGTGAATAGCCCACAGGAAAACAGTGAAATTGTGCTAGCAAGCACTGACCTGACAGAAAGGATTACATTCATATTTTAAATTGATGGGTACTTGTTTCTACATCCCTTCTTGAAACAAAGACATTTTAATCCAGCTTTCATGTTGTTTGTTTTCTTAACAGATTTTTGATGTTTTTGTCCTGAGACTTCAGGATTGCAACAAGAAAGTGAACCAGCAGGCACTGGAGGCACTGGCTTTGATGACACCCATGCTCAGAGATGCCTTACACCTAGTGCTGGTCCCTCTGGTAGCAGCAGTCACTGACAACCTGAACTCAAAGCACTCCGGGATTTATGCTGCAGCTGTGAAAGCACTGGAAGCATCCATTGCTCACCTAGGTAAGGCTAACCTCAGACATTGACTCTCCTCAACTGCGGCTTCTCCATCTCAGAGTCAAGTGAACACTCACTCTGTTGATAGCTGTTGTTGTCTGTGGAAATATCCAGCTGCTGCAAGATGTTTATGAAGTCCTGCCTGCATTCTTTCTCTCCCAGTCTGTTGTATCATGTTGTGATGTGCAGCTGAATGGATGCTGTTTATCACCTGCACCATATGTCTGATTATTAATTCAGCAGAAAGGACATTATAGGGATTATTTTACGTTCCTGCCAGAAGAGCATGAGGGAAGTGACTAGCATCTGTCATGACTGGTTTTCCCCCTTCCTCCTGGGAAACTGCATGCGTTTTGTTTTTATTGACTTGTATTTCTCAGATGTGCATTCTGTTAAGTTTACATCCACTAAAACAAGATGAAAGGAATGTGCTTTTTCCTTGAAACACATGGTGGGAAGGGTGGTGGAGGCTCTTTGCTCTCACTGGGCTTCATTCCATGCTCTGGCAGTGGTGGCTCTCCTGAGCAGATGCATCTGGCCCTTGCTGACACCAGTATGATTCAGTTACTCATTTTGCAGTTTTAGACAGTAGTTTAGCCATGTAAAGACAAAAGGAAAATGTCCTTTTGAATTCAAAGATTGAGACCTTGTATTTAATAAGATACTGTGTTATGAAAGATCATAGCAGAGATCAGATGAAGGATGAAATGCTTGTTCCATAGTCAGCCTGGAGGTCTCCATGTATGTGGGGTTAGAGATGCCTTGGCTCCCTTCTTCCAGAAGGGTAAGGAGCCCATTATCGTCCCCTTTTCTGGATGCTTGAGCATGGGGCCGCAAGTATGCCTGTTGATGTAAAATATGTACCTGCAGTAGGGAGAGGGTGACGTCCCGGTCTGCCCTGTGTCCTGAACCATATGGCCTGCTGCAGGTTGTGCAGCATGTTCTCTGTTGCCTACCAGGGCCATGCTGAAGCTCTTGGGGATCCTCAGGCTTGTTTCAGCTGGGAGCACCTGCCCTGTATGACTGCACCTCCAGCCTATCCCTTATTGCTGTCCAAAAGCTATGTGTTTGCACGCTGTGGACTGGCAAATACAGTCGCATGCTCCTTCATGGGTAATACTACAGAAGTCTACGTTGGTGTCTTTACAGTTCATCAAAACAGCTTTTAACAGCTACTTTTTGGTCGGTGTATTTGGAATTATTCCCTCGTGATCTGCTGTAGAAACTGTACGCATGTGGATAGTATGTATTTCTTAAAAGCATATGGAGATACTGTCCTGGAGTTAGCTCCCTGCTTCCCCTCACCTGCCACAAGTTTCAATTTGCCTTAATTTGGAGGCAGTAACTTAAAAACAAGGGAGTCAGGAAAAGCAGAAATAAAAGGGAGTAAAGTAGAATGGGATTATACTAAGATTTTTTTTTCCTCTCACCTCAGCTTTATAGTTGATATTAATGATTCACAGCAATGAGTACAAGGATAGACAACTGGGTGGCTCTCTAAATGAAGAAGGGGCTGGTAGCGTTGGTTGCAGCCAGGGGACACGGTTGAAAACCAGACCCAAGTCTGCAGCAAATGTTGTACTCTGTGACTCTTAGGTTATTCTTATGCACTTTATTTGAGGCAGCTGGATCCCCTGGAGGATCTAATGGAGAGGTGTTGATGTTACCTTCTTTTTGCACACACTTGCATCAGGGAGGAAGACTTGGGCTGCTCTGTGTAGCTTGCTGGAGGTGTTTACGTCTGCCCACTGAAACCTCAGTGAAGTGTTTAAAGTTTGGCAAGACAAATCCAGGCCTGAATTTCCCTCTTCTGATGTAGATTCAGAAGCACACTGGCAATACTTGTGCTACCAGTCATCGCTGCAGCTGTGACCAGAAGTTTCTGGTCCCTGGGGTTCTTCATCTGCTCTTTACTCCAGCTCTGACTTCTGTTGAAATGTGAGATGAGAGCTGGTGTGTGCGTATTTATGCATGCAAGCAGTTTGGTTTTGGAAAGATGAATGCCATCGATGAAAGTGTTCACTAGGAGTTTTTTTACACTGATTAAAATCTGCTACAGAAAAGCACGTCCCACATAAAGTGTTTGGGTTCTATAGTTGATGCCAGGTTTGCAGATCACTCATGTCACTTATGCTGTATATCAAAGGTCTGACTGTAACTGGTGAGCTGGGTAACCAGAAGCTGTGGTGGTGCAGTCCTTATGCACCAGTTCCCAGACAAGCTTGAATGTGTACCAGCATTTCCCCAAAGTCCCAGGAGCCTTTGGCTCTGTGCTGCTTGTCTCCTTTGGTACAGAAGGAGCTGAACAATAAATTCTGGAGTACAACGTTGCTAGAACTCAGGGACAAAGGGATTTTTGGAGGTTGTTTGGGTCCAATTTGACTTCCCAAATGAATTGCTTTGCAGTTGGTGTGAAGGGACACTGGCCCATCAAGTGCTTCTGCAGAACAGCTTCCTGGAAGGCTCTACATTATAGGCATTAGCTGGTCCTGTCTACTTTCCACCTTTGTTCTTTGTCTTCTTTTTTTAAAAGGGAATTTATGATTTGCCAAGTTCATTTCTTTAGAACAAACAGGTATAAATCCAGCTGTAAATGATGGCTTGTTCCACATGTTGTTCTGCATGGGGCAAGATTGCTATAGCCAATAACTACATAGCCAAGGTCTGCTGTAAATTCCCTTGCCACGCAGATTTATGTCAGCTGTGAAAATGCAGCACTGGGTGAATATGCCTGAGAAATTTAGTGTTGAAGAGGCAGGTCTTAAAGAGGAATTAACAACTTTCTCCACATCAGCTGCTTTGCGAACTCAGTGAAGTTGCTGACCCACTGCTTTTCTGTGTCCCAAGTATAGGGTTGTTCCTGATCATGAAGCGGGGAGAAGGGTGTGAGATCTGTACTGCTCTTGGCCCTTACCCATTTTTTGTGGCGCCTGGGAGAAGGTTGGGGAAAAGTTGCAGAATCCTGCTAACAAAGGATGCGGCAAACAGATCCCTTCAGGGTTTTGTATGGAGTTCTGTCATTCCCCTCTCACCAATTCTGAGAGATCACTGTAAATTTTCCATGCTAGCAGATGTCAGAACAGGAGCAAGGCTCATCTGTCTCACATCATACTGACTTTACCCAGAGACAGGTTCAAGCAAACAAGGTGGAATATATTTTTTTGGTTCTGCTCATTTTTAGGGACATTCACAAAAATTCAAACAGGCAACTGAATCACAAATATTTCAAAATTCAACACCTAAGGCTTTAGTGGGGGAAGGAAGGCTCTACTGGAAGAATGCGTGAGTGAAGCCTTCCTATAGGCTTTAAAGTTGTCTGCCTTTACAATTTAAAATCAAGTGGCAAACAACAAGCCCCCCCCCCCCAAACTCTAAAGGATTGCGCAACGCTCCTAGATTAGAGTGAGTGCAACATCTTGCCCCATTGCTCCACTGAGTTTCATAGTTAGGAGCCCAGCTATTGCTCCGAGCTTCTGTGTTGACATGCCTCAGATTCTGAGTTTTAGGTGAGACTTCCTCATCTGTCACTTCTAATGATCCATGCAAAAATGCAGGCTGGTTAGAAAATTGCTTGATCACTCAATGTAAAAACAAACAAAAACCAAACCCCAAACAAAATAAAACCCCCTCATCCCCAAGACCAAAATTCTACCTACAAACAAACTAATTTGCTTCCAAATAATGCCTGAATTGTTTATTTCGCTTAACCCTGACATTGGCTTGGACATCCCCAGCTGAAGGCCACACACATTCCTTAGGTTGTGACCCGGGACCCTAATCCCATTCAACGGACCCACCTTGTAGGTGAGGTTGAATCAGTAAATCAAGCCTGGCTGCAGTGGGACCAAGACATAGACCTTGCTCTCCTCTAACATCCATCCTACCCTGTCCTCTGTCATGAAAGAAAGGCCTTTCAAATGGCCACTGCCTGACACCAGGGCATGGAGTCAGGACAGCAGTCCCCAGTAGCTCCTAGAGGAACCAGCCCTCTGCAAGAGGGGAAGGGAATTTTCCCCTCTAGGTGTTAATGTAGCAAAGAAGGGACCACAGTGAAAATTAGAGCATGGAGAAGCAGATTCTTCTTTTGCTCATATTGCAAATGATGGGCTGCCTGTCCTGTGGCCAACAAGTTTAGCTAATATGTAGTGCAGAGCATTAAAACTGAGTTAATAAGAACTAAACTGCCTGTCACCTTGTTTTCTCTAACAGCCATTAAAAGCTCCTCTGTCTTTAGGTCTCTCAAGGCAGCTGAAGTAATGGTTGGGTAATTTTGTTATTGACTTGAGCTTTAGTGTTTCAAAATATGCAAGGCATTTGAAACCGTTAAATTGAAGGGTGAATAGTGCCTATACACGTAGCTTCCTAAAACCCAAGCAAAACAACCAGTTCCCCCTCACCACCCAAAACCCAAGTGTTCCCCTGAAAATCTGTGTAGATACCGATATTAATGATTAATTAACATTTTGTGTTCCTTCAAGACCTCCAGATCTCAGGGTGTTTTTTTTCAAAGTAGCAAGCTGTAAGGTAACTCCCTGGGGAAAAACAGCAAGTGTGAAACAGCGTCTGACAATACTGCAGGAGTGTGAGGCAGAAAGTGAAGTGTCTGTTTAAAAAGGTGAATGAGAAGAGTGTAATTATCAAAGCAGGAGCTTAATTAGGATAGCAGGATAAGTTCTTTACTGCATGCTAGCAAGAAGATCGTTAGGGACTCGCTTTTTATCTCTCGTGCAAAAAGGAGCACTTAATAGCACAGTGCTGCTTAAAACCAGTTTGGGATTTGGCTCTGTAGTGGTTCACAAAGACATAGGTTGCCTGCTTTATCGGTGCTGCTCCTGGTGATACCACGAGGTGTCGTGGCGCATCCCACGCGCATTCTGCCTGCAAGAAAAACTTTGCTTGGCTTATCAAAGCGGTAAGACCGGAGGCTTGCAGACCAACCCAGGCAACAGTTTATAAATTAAAACAAGACCCCAAATCAACAACAGGCAGCATAGGAAAAAGTAAAATATGTATGCCAGTCAAGTATTGGAAAATCAGTTTGTTTTCCAGTCTCTCTGCCAAGATCTGATTTCAGAGATCTAACAAGAGCCCCTGAGAGCAGATGGTGTTGGCAATAAGCAGTAATTCTCTCTTGTAAGAGTAACTGGGAGTCTTGTCCATAGATCCCAACAGGTAATTTAAAGATTTAACACCAGCTTATCCTTAAAGTGTGAATGGATGTGTGGACTTTTGAGCCTTCTCACCCTTTTCCTTAGAGGAGGGAGGAGGTCACTTCTGCAAAGCTCCAGGATGCAAAACCTTTTCACTGCTTACATGTGATTTAAATTTTGAGGGCCCTGATGTCAAATGTTTAACACAGCTCCTTGTACAGCAGTCAACTTCAGATTTACAAACGTGAAATGAGAGATTTTCTTTTTGAATTTAAAATCCTCCCACATAAGCTGGAAGGAGAGAAAAGGACTCAGAAACTGGCAGAAATTTACTTTATTTTACAAAACGCAGTTACCCCTGCCCTTTCCCCCCCGCCCCTTTTCTTTTTTCCCCGCCTTATAACCTCAGAAGAGTGAGCAGAAATAACTGTTTCTCTTTCAGATAACACATTGCTGCTGCAAGCGTTTGCCCACCGAGTGCGTTTCATCAGCGGCCAAGCTCTGCTGGATGTCACAGAACATCTCTCAGGTATCGCCTGCTTCAGCTAATCTCCACTTCTAAGTCAGGAAGTCTTCAGAGGGAATATTTAGAGGGAATGCCTCTGAATTGACAGTGCAGTAGCTCATCAAACACCAGAAGGTCCTGAGCTTGTCCCTCCTGCTAAATACACATACTAGGTTTATTAGGCAGGCGTTTGCATGACTGCTGTGGAGGCATGCAGCATGTGAGATGAGTGCGGATGGCGCTCGGGCTCCAGTGCCGAGCTCTCACTGCGGCATCTCAGGACCCACCTCCAGGAAAGAGAGGGGCTAAAAATACCCGGGCTGGTTCCTCTCTTTGAAGGACAGCACAGTAAATGTCATGGAGGGCTGTAAGAGGTCCCTTTTCTAAAGTGAACGACCATCCTTTAGAAAAAATTGTGGCAACTGGTATTTCTGAGGATTAGTTTGTTTTTTCACCATGAGATTCTTCTTTTCCTGTTGGAAAATGTTGAGGTTGAATCCTGCAGAGCCTGGAGGTGATAGTGTAGGTGAAAACTCATATGACAAGCAAGGATTTTGTGCAAGGCAGGATTTGGGGGCAGCAGGGCAGAAGCGGGCAGTTCAGCCCAACCCACTGGGGCTCCCTGCCTGTATTGCAGATATGACCTTGGACTCTGAGCATTTCAGGATGTGCAAACAGTCTATTTCTGTATCAATGGTGTCCAACACACTACAAATACAGCTGATAATTGATTTATAATAGCAGCTTGCTATGTCAGCAACAGCCAAGGAATAGAAAAAATGATAATCTCAATATATACTAGAGAAGACTATTTATAGCCTTACTTTAATTAGGGCTAAAGCCACTGCTAATTATGCCAGCGTCTTTTAATCCAAGGTTTAATACACTTTGCTTCTTCATTATGAATCTCAAAAGGGCATGTTTAGACATAGCAAATGTAAAAGGGCCTTTAAAGATAATTTGAATAAAGTAAATCTCCATAAACATAGAATTTAGTTTTACAGTTATTTTAATCTCTTTTTCAAATAAAGCATTTAAACATAAATTGGGACTACTTCAGAGAGAGTAGATGCTCTGTCTGGGACTTTGTGGGAACAGACAGCTCTTTCTCTTCTGAAGCTCCATAGTGACCACTGTGTTTAATAGCATTTAAACTCAAATTGACTCCCATTTTGAAATAGGTACCATAACCCTTTTCCTGCTTACCAGAATTGTTTTTAGGTACTTTCAGGAGCTGCTTAAATGTTGATGACTGATGCTAGATTAACAGCGTAGAGAAAAATGAAGGTCCTTCCACTACAGAACAATAAATAGTTACTGCATAACATTTCCACTGAACAGAAATTAAGAACTCTGTCTCTAGACCATTTCAGATTTGATCTCTCAGCAAAATCTGCCATGCAAGGAGCAAATTGGTAGTAAATTTTTGTTTATATTTAACATAGTTCAGGTCAGAAAATGAGCTGAGAGCAGACTCCGGAGAGAATAAGAGGGAACACTTGTTTTTTGGTTACATTTCAGCCCCCTCTGTAAGAGTTTTCTACCTCTGTTCCCCTATTTCAGGGAACATTGTGAGGGTAAATGCCATTAAACTTGTAAGATGCTCAAATGCCATGGCAATGGGGTCTGGGTAATTATCTAAGACATCCTGAAGTTTGAAACAGCTGTTCATTAGAAGCCACCAAGTATGAGGGGAAAAAAGCTCAAATTAGACCATTCTGCCAAAGACATCAGTTAGTCATTGATGTTTCTAATAAAAATGTCAAGCAGTTCACATCTTTTGTGGGCTGGAGTTTTGAAGTGTAGTATAATACTGCCATTTGCAGTGTGCCACTGAGCAAAGGGAACTGCCAGATTAGACTTTTGGCATTTTTCATCAAAGGTCACAAAAAAGTAATCATCCTTTCTATTAGAAATTTGTCAATTACCTCTCTAAGCTGCTTTTCAAAATCTTCAGCAGCTGGTTTAGACAACTTGTTAATGGAAATAAACAGCGATTTGACATTTTTGTCATTTGTAATGCAGAAGCAGACAGTGAAATGATTTACAAAATGTGTATGATTCACTTTGCTAAGTCTATCATGGATACAAAGCCTCTGATTTGGACAAATTAAGGTCTTTGGAGGTTGGTTGTTCTGTTCAGTGGGTGATCAGCCCTTGTTGCCTATTTCTGGATCATCGGGCTCTTTGTGCTTGCTGATATTAGCCAGAAAAGGCTTCCAAGAACCAAAAATAAAGGTAGGTACTTGTTTGTGTTAAAGTTGTTAAGAAGCTTTTCTCTCTTCCCCGGCAGTGCTTGTGGCATCTGTTTATCCCCAGAAACCCCAAGCCATCAAGCGCTACGCCCTGCCGGCGCTCTGGTTCTTCCTGGGAAACGATGTCCTGCCTGTCCGAAGTGGCAATGTCAGGGCTGTGGTTGCCAAGCTTGCAAAGGGCCTCTACCAAGTGATGGGCTCCAGGCTGAAGAAGCATGCTGCCAGCCAGCCTCAGCATGTGGTGAAAAACCTCTGTGACATTTTGGACCTGAACATCGGGTGAAGGCTTGGTGTGCTCCAGGAAGCTGTGTGGGACACGTGGAGGCAAAGGTGGACATGGTGGTGGCATTGGTTTTATTCTGTGTGTTTGAAGAATGGGATTTACCCTACAGAGTTCATAGCTACAGCTGTACGTTTTGATGTAGGCTTTTAAAAAATAATAAAAACCAAAAGAAAGTGTTTTTCTAAAGTTTTATATCTTGAGCTCTTCTTCCCTAAGAAGCTTGCACAGATACCAAAAAAATAAAACCCATGTGTAAATGCAGTTTGTAACTATAAGAAGTAAAAAAATGTATTTATATACATACTTAGAAAGTAAGAGATGGGCTTTCAAGCATTGGGGTTATAGGATTAGATGGCTTGATTTGGGAAGCAGAGAATGAGAAACCAGGACCTGCTAGCCCAGAGGATATGTGGCGGGGCTATCAGAAGATGTGCAGCCCACTGTATGTGCCAGTGTATGCCATAGGTGCGAAGCTACCAGGTGGCCCCTTTACAAAGCTCTGGTAGCTGCTGGTGCAATGGCAGATACCTGAGATCATAGATGTCCAGGTCAAGGTCAGACACCTGGGCCCATGG